GGGCTCAACGTAATTCATTAAACGTTTAAAACCTTCACCTTCAACAAAACTAATAGGCAGCAAGTCTTCTGCTGTCATTTCTGCTATTAACTGCGTCATCTTCTCTGTCCTGCCTTTGTCGCATTTCTGTCTGATGGTGAAATCTCTTATGCTTGTCTGACTGCTGGTAGTGGCATCGGCATCATCTGCTTTTTTGTGTTTATGTGCAAGATGATAACACATCGAACTCGTTGTGGAGTTGTAGACGATTGTGGTGCTGCACATCTTACACTTGACTGTTTTTTCGTCAAGTTTTTCAAAGTGTTGCTAGACATCTCTGCACGCTTTAGAAGCCGTTTTCGCTCTGTGCTTCGGTCTTGTCTCTAGACCGCAACTTCTCACAGCCGTAACCAATCAAATATCAGACTACCGCCCAAATACCAGCATAACCAATCAGAAAGAATGAAAGTAGTTTAATTTAAAAAAATGCATTTTTAGAGCCAATTGATCGTCATTTTCATGCTCGATCGTCGCTGATGGGTTCGAGTAATCAATTAATTGAGTACTCGTGCACATCCCTATTCCTTTGGTTGCAAGTTTTTAACTTTGCAATGAGGACTTGTTTGGTCTGTGTCCGATGGCGCAAAACCGAACCATTTAATTGCCATGTTGTTTGTGAATCCGCTACAGTGTTTGGGTGCGGCGTGCTAATTTACCAGTGAAGAACGGCTGAAAGAGGCTGAAAGCATGAGTGCCACGACAGATGCGTGAGAGCTGGCAACCAAACCTGAAAACGTATGTTTACGGTTTCACTGTAAAAAATATTACTTTATACAGTTGTTAAAAAAAAAGTAAATAACAAAATCACCAATAAACTGTCTGTTTATCCAATATTTTATAAAATACTGCATTTGAAAACTTAAGCTTCACAATTTCAGGACAGAGCAGCTACTCTGTTAGGAACCTTACGGCTTTTTGGTTGAGGGTGCTAGATTCGCTGCTGTTATCATCACTAATGGCATATTAGTAATAATAAAAGGGCTGCATAAGCCGAAGTACGTCTTGTTTTGCGGTTAAAGGAATTTGATGTTTATCGGCTTGGCAAACGGCAGTTTGTGTTAATTGGACAGTTGTGCCTTTTACCACACACCTTGCATGAGGGCAGTGGTACATATATATAAACTGATTTAGCAAATTTGTTTTACTTTTTAATTTGCCACTATATGTAACCAGGTTATTTCTGTTTAACGTGTATAATGACATAAAATCTATTTTGAATTTGTTCATTTTTCTATCACGACTTGGCGTCGGAATGTTTAGAAAATTCACACAACTCAAATCGGTTACATATACTATATAATGACAAGTATTCAGATTATCACTGAAGCCTTGAAGAAAAATAAAATGTTCTTTTATAAACAGGCTGTTGTATAAATAGGCTGTTGATATCGCAGCGTTAACAGTATACTGCATATCCATATCCTGGCACACAAACACACCAGTAATAACTATGGCACCGGTGTACTGTCCACCCGTAATGTGTAGCAGTCAATTTTGAATACGAAAGATTCTTTCTTTATAAAATGAAATTCATTTTGTCCGAAGCCTAAACTTTTACATACACGCTAAACCTGTTTTTAATTTATGGAAATTCACAATAATTTACCAAATACCGTAATGTAGTCATAAGTAAGCAATTAACATGAATCTGTAACAACAATTAGTTCATTATAGTACCGTGACATCAGTGTTTCCCCTAGGTTTACAGCTTTGGGGGGGACAGACGGACACCTACAGGATTCATGGTGCTCATGTGTTTCTTTTAATCCTCTGGGGTCGAGTGCATTGTCGGCGACGCAGCGTACTTTTCGCGTCTATTTCAGTTTATAAATCGCTGAAATCTTAATGTAGGATCATGAAAAAAACGCTGGCTAAATCCATAATCTGTCTTCTTTTCAAAACGTCCATTGTCGGAAGTATTAAAGTTTAAATTGGGTTAAATCAGCAAAAAAGTAAACCATGTCATCATACTTTGTTTTACCTGCATCGGGGGCGTGTAGTACCACTGTCACCCGAAGATCGCTATTCACATTATAAATAGCAGCATTAGCGCGTATTCAGATCGCATTTGCATGGTAATTTGATGAACAGCGCAGTGGTGAAACACGATCCAGATGCATCCCCTTCAGCGCCATAAAAGGGGGTGGGGGACGTGGCCAGGTGACCATGGCTCATTCATATACATGAAAGTTGCTACATATTCAATGAAAGGAGCCAGAAATAGTGACATGAGTTAGCTTTTTCTTATTTATTTATCCAAATGAATGTTGCAACTACACCATTTAGTCATCTTCATGTAGCCAAGACTTTGGTGATCAGATATCTGGGATCAAAACAAACTGCCAGCATTGCTTACTATGTACTTCTATGTTTCTGCAAGTGTTCCAAACTGCATTTTGCAATGTCTATACTTTGATGTCAAAAATCTGACATATTTACTATATACATTAAAATAAAGATGAGTGTAATGGCAAAACAAATATATAAGAAATAATTTATTTGCCATGAATTAAGTTTGAATTATGAAGAAATGTGTGATCATGCCCCAGTCAGTGAAAGTGTGTTTCCTACCCCTAGACCCCAGAGGGTTAATGACAGCAGTCAATATAACAACTGAAATAAACATCAGAACATTTCTTTTTATGGCAATTATACGGAGAATGTGCAGCTTTTGTCACTGCAGTGTATCTTTCTGGGCTTCTGGAAGAACATTTCTAGAGCCTCTTGATATGGGAAGTCCGAAACGTCTGGCCCATGTATTGAGATCCGCATGCAGGCTGCAAGATGGTCTCCTTGCAGCCTATTGCGGATGTTTGTCTTGACCTGCAAATACATTAACTGTTAGGCTTTAAAAGTGATAGCTGTTTAAAATAGTGATACAGTGGTACCTCAAAACTCTAACTTAATCCATTCAGAACTCCAGATCGAATCCTAAAAAGTTCGAGTTCTGATGAAATTTTCCCCATAAGAAATAATGGAAAACCAATTCATTGGTTCCCGGCCCCAAAAAATTAAACCTAAATGTTTTTTTTTTTTTTTTTTACACATTTAAACACAAAATGAACCGGATAAAACAAGAAGAGTATATACTGTACTAAACACATCTAAGCACATTTATCAAAACAATAATTTGTAAAGTAAGAAAATAAATGTATCCAAACAATGTGTAAAGTTAAAAATAACAATGTGTCCTGCCCCGATCGTCCGCTCCTTCTGTGTGCCACGCCCCTTCGTTAATCCCGTGTGATCAGCTGTTTCTGGTTGTTTTTATTAGCTCTCGGTATTTCGTCCGCGTTTCACTTTGTTTTCCCAGTCCGGTCATTGTATTGTCCATCTGCGTTTTGCCTGCCTTACCTGTAATTAAACCC